GATAATTGGGATGGGAGTGTCAGAGACAGTGCGATTGGCACAGGACAGAGCGGAGTTTAGGGCTGTTGTACATAGGGTCGCTATGAGTCGCAGGCTACTCGAAGGCACATAACAACAACAACAACAAACCCTGCCTACAAACCCCTCTGTTTTCAGAACTCCCTGTTTATAATGGGAGGGACAGTTAAACTGTCTTCAAGGAGCAATAATTACCAGTTAGTCCTACAAAGTAGATGCTTTGTGGGTGTTTGTTGAAAAAAAAATTGCCGTCCAGCTGAGAGCAAGAAAGGGAAAGCAAAAAGGAAACTAGATGATGTGTATGGTTGGTGTAGGATAAAGTGGGAGAAAAAGTGGGGAGAGGAAAAACCAAATATTACACCTGGAGATTTGAGAAGGAAAACTGTTGGGTGCCAGAAAACAGTCTTGCTTTCTTCCAGTTTCCCTTAGGCAGGCTTTGGAAACTCCATCAGGAAGATCTCTTGTGATTCTTTGGCATGTCTGTTGTGTAATACTGACCTCTGGCAGAAAGCGCACAGGAATACTGTCCCTTTAATCTTTGGAAACACTTTATTTTCTATTCACCAGCTGCCTCCTTGCAATTTAAGTATCTGTCAGTCAAGTAGACATTAAGTGCCTTCTTATATAAACACTTACAGAGTTCGAACTTGCCAGGGTCTCTGGAAAGCATTCTATTTCTTATAAGTTCTTTGAAGTTTTGTGTGGTTTTTTTGTTGTTGTTGTTTTTTTTACTCCTACAAGTGTGTACAGATATAACCAGATAAGGAGATTGTCCTTGTACAAATTTATTAATTCCACAGCTACAGAGTTATGATGAAATAATGCTCAAGACTCACTGACCAAGATTTCTCCAAAGAGGTGTCACCATAGAATGTTAGGGAAACTTTCTTTCACTTTCGTTGACTGTCTTCATATAGTACAGAAACATTAATGTTTCTCTCAAGTCTAAAATATTTACAATAGATAATTTGAAGGGTATAAATAAATTAATTGAAGAAAGTAAAAATAATTTGTAATTACATTACCCAGAAATCGTTTTCACTTAACAATTTTTTTCTTTAGAAATTTTCTGTACCTCTATTGATATTTTGAAATATTTACCAATTATTATGGTAAATTTTTTTAAGCATAATATAGAAAAGTGTGGCATTTGTAATTGTACCCAATGCCTTTCCCCCTTGATTCTTTTAAATAAACTGAACACATCTAGTGCCTAATACATAGCTCACAAAACAAGACACTTCCAGAACCAGAGTGTATTTCGCCTACATTCACTTGTACAGAAATTTAGGCACATTCATCTAATGCAGTGCTGTGCACCATCCCAAAGAATTGAGAATTTTCAAACTTCTGCATAACATGGATGCCTCTGGGGACATTATGATGAGGGAAAGAAGTCAAACAAAGGACAAATATTGCGTATGAATACTATTGTAAAAAGCTTTGCCTAGACTGATACACTGGTAGAATCATTCTGGATATGTAATGAACAGTAAGAGAAGAAGAAGGGAGTGAAAATGAGGAAATGAATAATAAAACTCATTAAGGCACCTGAAAGGGAAAGGTAATAAACAATGAGGCAAAATCAACCCAATATATAATTTGAGAAATGAAAGACAAAAGGGGATATAGGAGACTGAATGTCCCATTTCTTCTTTAGTTATATGCATAATTTCCATTTAGATACTTCCTACCCTTTTTTGTAATTCTGCATATTTTTAACTAATTATAGTTCACATTTTGTTTTCATACTTTAATTATTGGGATAAAAATGTACTTTCCTTATTTTGAAGTTATTTAGGTGCTGTTCTAATATTGTGTTACATATAACATGATCTTCCATTGTCTTAACAGCAACTTATTACTGTTGGATCAAAGCTAACCTGCCAGTAGAGTCCTGGTGGCCTAGTGATAAGAAGCGACGTTACAATCCCAAAGGCACTCAGTTGGAATCTACTAGCTGCTCAGCCGGACAAGGAAGGACAGTCTCCTCTCATACAATTAACTGCCTCTGAAAACCCATCACAGGGTCAGATATGTTTCCATTCTGACTTGATGGTACACAACAAGAACAATTCACATAGGAGAAGATTGCCCATCTTCCACTCACTCTACTGTTTTCGATCTTTTGGCTAAGATCTAGTATCCTATTATTGTTATGTTCCATTGATTACCTGCAACTCATAGAGACCCTAAGTACAATAGCTCTGAACCCTCACCTATCCTGAGCCAATCTCACTAACTCAGACACACCTAATCCTATTGCCCTGGTTACTGTATCAATCCCTCTCATCTAGGATCTTCCTTTCCTGTGCTGTTCCTCTGCCCTTCCAAGCGTGATATCCTTCTCCAATGACTGTCCTTCCTGGCTGCATCCCCAAAATATGTGAAACGGAGTTTCAAAATCCTTGCCTCCAAGGAGAAACTTGGTTTAACCCTCTCAGAGATAGACCTGTTTGCTCTCCTTGCTGTCCATGGTATGTTCAATACTCTTCTTCAGCACCACGACCAACTCAAAGGCATCAACTCTTATTCTGTCATCCTTAGTCATTGTCCAGCTCTCTGATAGCTTATAATTAATTGCAAAGACCATAATCTGGATTGGACACATCTTAGTCTCTAGACTGATAAAATTGCTCTTTAGCATTTTGGAGACATCCCTCATACCAGACTTCCCCAACACAATTCATCCTTTGGTTTTCTGACTCCTAATGCCATGAGCTGCTGAAATTGTTAACAACCTCAATCTTTTCTTCATCCATCATGGTGCTGCAAGTTGACCCAGTGGTGAGAATCTTTATCTTCTTTATGTTGAGCTTTAATCCATATTGAAGACTACAGTCCTCAATGCAGAGAAGAATCCCACTTAACTCTCAATGGGAGAAGTAGGGAGTGCAATGTAGAACAAGCTGAGCTGCTAATAGAAAAAATAGAAGTTCAAAATCAAAGAAGGCAGGATAGAGCTCCAGTGGGTACACCAAGGTGCATCGCAGGATCCAGAAGGGCAGGATGACCAGTTGAGTGATGATGAAGACAATGACGAAGATGATGAAGATATTGTTGCAGGTATTTTTCCATCCCGCATAGTTAAACATCTTGGCTGACTCAAGCAGGTAATCAGAAGAGTCATGCAGAGCCATGATGAGAGTCCCTGCCCGGATGTAATTGGCAAACCAGGAGAAACTGATGAGGATGATGGTGGCCACATGGTGGATGATCTGTTCCTTGAAATCCTTTCGTTTGACATCAGAGGCAATGCTGAAGAGCAGAGACCAGTAGAAAGAAAGCTCAGTCATGTAGTACCAATACTGGGCAGGAATGGTGCTCTGTATGGGAGCTCTATCCTGCCTTCTTTGGCTATTACTTCTTCAATTCCATGATGGCAGTGCTACAGTTGCTGCATATCTTCTGGGCCTATCTCATTCTGCGCATGGCCTACAAGTTCATAACTGGAAAGGTGAAGGTTCTGTTGTATGCTGTAGACCATAATACCCTTAATCTACAAATTGTGCAAACTCTATCCCACCAACAGTCCTTTGAAAAACTATATTGAGGGTATAGATAGATCAAAAAATAGGCCTATTAAGGGGTATTCTTAAGAGATTTGAAGATATCACATAACCTTCTTTATCCCCTCCTACAGCTCGTAGAAGATGAACGCAGTGACCGTGACGAAACAGAAAGCTCGGAGGGGGAGGACGCCACAGTAGGGGGAGGACCAAAAAGTCGGCCCCTAGCGAACGGCCATCCCATCCTCAATAACAACCATCGGAAGAATGACTGAACTGTGGTCCCTGCTGTCCCAAAAATGACATCTAAAGCCAAGGAACTGCGCACTCCCCCCACAGGGTCACTTTACATTACGGGGAGAAAGGAGTGAAGAGAGTTCTCTGTGCTTCTCCTTTTTTCCCCATTGCCTTTAAACCAAATTCTAACCTACTCGTCCTCACATAGAAGGGAGGGTGGTTATATCCTTGGAGGGGAGGATTGTCTTATTTAACTCTCTCTCCAACTCGTCCATTCCACCGCTTGAGACCCTTCCTCAGCTCTAGGAATGGGGTTTACAACTCACATTCCTTATGCTTCAGAATCTGGCCCTAGCTATTTGCCTTTGACTTCCAGAGCCAAAGTTGTGCCTTATTGTCCTATTTGTGGGCCTCATTCTGCCAAAGTTGGACCATCTTCCTTAACGCTCCCTACTTGGGCCAAAAAACCAAAGCTGAGCTGCCTTTAACTTCTTCCCTTCTAAAACACAGATTGAGTGTGGGAGGGTATACATGACCCCAACCTACTTCTGCCAAAAGTAGAGACTGTGTAAAAGGTCTTTGTTTTTTGTAATTCCTCTACCAGCTACCCCTGTAGCCAGAGGTCCAATATCTAGCTGCCTTTCTCTGGCATCTTCCTCTTCAGATAGGCAAGCTGGTTTGGAGTAGAATGGCAATTACTTTTAGTTTTTATTTATTAAACATGCGGGGTTTTGGTTTTAAAGTCAGAATTACAAGCACCTGGCATTTTAGCAGAGGGACCATTTCAGACCAAATGTACTGTTAATGATTTTTTTAATTAAAATATATTAAAGATTAAGTAAAATATGGCAGCAAGTGTCTGAACTTACTAGAGATTGATGAGGATAAACTAAATAAACTAAGATGGTCTTCCTTAAAAAAAAAAAAAAAGAAGAAGTTCAAAATCATTAGCTGCTACAGACCTTCTGCAACAAACAGGTTCTCCTCTGTTTTGGCTAGCAAGGTTGTATTATTTGCATAACACAGGTTGTTGACAAGTCTTCCTCAAATCTTGATGCCACACTCTTCTTCACAAAGTCCAGCCTCCTGAATGATCTATTCCACATACAGATTGAAAAAGTATGGAGATAGGATACATCCCTGATGCACTCCCTTCCTGATTTTGTACCATGCAGTGTTTCCCTGCTTTGTACTGAGAACCAAGAATAGGTTTTGCATAAACACAATCAAGTGTTCTGGCATTCCCATTTTCCTCAAGGTTAGCCAAATGACCTGCACAGTCAAATTCCTTTGCACAGCAATGAAGAACAGGTAGACATTACTTTGGTACTTTTTGCTTTCTGCCAAGAACCATCTTATAGTGGCGATAATGTCTCTAGTGGCATGGCCTCTTCTAAATACAGCTTGTATTTCTGAAAGTGCTCTCTCAATGTACTCTTCCAGTCATTTCTGGATAATCTTCAGCAAGATTTTGATTGTATGTGATGTTAATTATGTAGTTCAATAATTCCCACACTCAGATCACCTTAATTTTTTTGATTCTACATTTTTTTAGATCCTACAAAAATATAATTTTTCATGACTATGATATAGTCTTTTCCCAAAGTTGATTTAAAAATTATTATTTCTGCAATGGGTAGAAAGAAATGCCATAATTTCTCTTTTTCTCACTTTCAGCTCTATTTAACTTTTATGCCTTTTTAATATATATTATATTTGGAGTCTAAATTTTATCAAGCTTGGGTCCTTACTTACCATTTTCTCTTAGGCAAGCTTTTTCAATCCTGTGATATTTTGCAAAAATAGTCACAAATTCTTTCCAGTTCTTTACACATGCCTCTGTAATGAAACAAAAACAACATAGAAAACTTCAAACCAAACCCATTGCTCTCAAAGACTATGTAAGTTCTTCTCCATCAGGTTTCCAAGAGTATAAATCTTTATGTAGGGTCGTTGTTTCATCTTTCTCCTGAGGAGCAGCTAATGGTTTTGACCTCCTGTTCTATTAGCAGTTCAGCTTGTTGTATATTACATTACCTATTTCTGCCATTGAGAGTTAAGTGGCTTTCTCTGTCTATTGAATCTGACACAGCAGAGGCTGGAAAGATGCCTGTGATTGGGCTTTGCCCTTTCTTACTGCTTTGGTAAGAAATGCATCACATAAAGAATCCCTGTTGGGTTCCCAACTAGCCAGTCAGATGTAAGAGAAAAATGTCCCAGTTACCCTCTGCCAATGGCCAACACTAATCATCAAACATGTGAATGAAGCCATCCTAGACCAAATAGCATCAGCTGATCTGCTTGTTGACAGCAGTCAAATGATAGAATCTTAGTTTTCCATCCAAATTACTGATCACAGAATCATAAGCTAATATGTGATTCTTGTTTTCACCCATTAAGTTTTGAGATACAGGGAAGCACTTGCTATAGATCAAAGACTACAGCCTGCAGTATGTGTTGCATCTCAACATCAAGTAGACAAAAATGCTCACCACTGGACCATCATGTTAGGTGGACAAAAGACTTAAGTTGTCTACGATTTCATCTTGCTTGGATTCACAATCAACATCTTTGGTATTAGCAGTCAAGAAAGAAAAAAAAGTCTCATTAGGAAAATCTACTGTCAAGGACCTCTGCAAGGTGTTAAGTAGCAATGATGTAAGTTTAAAGGCTAAAATGCATCTGATTCATACTATGATCTTTTAATTTACTTGTTGTGCATCAGAAATTTGGACAAAAAATAATGATAAAGTCATCACCAATGCCTATGAGTTGTGGTGTTGGAGACGAGTAATGAATGTCCCAAGGACTACCAAAGAACAAATAAATATATCTCGGAGGAAGTGCAACTGGGATACTCCTTAGAGACAAGGATGGTTAAACTTTATCTCACATATTTTGGGCATGTTGTTAGAACGTGCAGTCCTTGGAAAGAGATATCACGCTTAGAAAGGTAGAGGGCCAGAGAAAGAAGAAAAGATCCTCAATGAGATGGGTCAATATAGTGACTGCAATAAGGGGCTCAGGCATCTCAGAGATGATGAGGATAGCAAGGCTCAGGATAGGGCAAGGGTCAGACCATTGTTATAGGGTCACTGAGCAGTAGTTGACTCAATGGCACTTAACAGCAATAAGTTTTGGGCTAATTTGTTTGTAGGGAAAGAAATATAACTTACACATTTTTCAGAGAGAAAGCCAGTACTTTTATAATGTTGAATTAATTTATTAGCATTACCTCACCAAAAACACAAAAGGGAGCTCTCGTAGCCTAGTGACAAGAAGCTGTGTTGCCAGCCTGAGGGAATGTGGATCAAGGCCACAAGGTGTGCCATGGGAGGATGGACAATCTCCTTCTATGTGATTAACTGCCTCTGAAAACTCACCAGTGGGTCAGCTATGGATCATTTCCAGCTCTATGATGCACAATAACAACAACGACAACCAAACCACAAAAACACTAGCCTCTGAAATCATACTTTATAAACATGTACGTTGTAAAGTGATAGATCACCATGACTTTTCAATTATGTAGCTACTCATTCAAATTTAGTTTTGCTATGTTTTCAGTCTAGTTTCCTGGGAGACTTGGATGTATCTTTCCATAGTGTCTGATGTTGTGCCTCTTAATAAACACAATTCTATCGTTAATACTCTTCAGAAGACCATTTTATGACTTTCTCGAAATTTTTGGCTGTAATATTTTTTTATGTTTTCAACAATATCGTTTGAAAGAAAATGATATCTAAGATTTGCTGTCTTAAAAATCATTATGACCATGCTGGAATCATTCAGGCAACTTATTCTATTTTCATGTAATCTATTAGATATAATCTCATATTACATAGTGGGGGAAAAGTAGAATAAATTTTTATATACTCTGCAACTATGTTAAATAATAGTTAATATTTTTATTTTTTATTAATACTTTAACAAAAGTTGACAGAAAACTTGGATTTTCATTCATTTCTTGTTGCACATTTTTCTCCATACCTATTCACAATTCACTTTTTTCTTTAAATAGATTCTTTCATTGTTGCATAATTTCCTCCCTCTCCTGTCCCCCCAGTTCACTTTGCTATGCACCTCTTATACTGAGCTGCTGTCATGCAAATAATATCTAATCATATATTCCTTGAAAACAGTTATTTCCTTCATCTGTTTCAAAGCAGCATTCATTATTTATCCCCTCTTTTCTTCATTTCCTCCCAACCCCCACGTCAGGCCTGTTCTATAACAGTATCATTATGTAGTATTTGGTCTTTTGTGCCTGAGATATTTCACTAAGCATATGTCCTCTGTATTACCCATTTTGTATGATATTTTATGAGTTCCTTGGTTTTGAGTGCTGAGTAGTATTCCATTTGGGTGAATATACCACAGCTTTTCTATCCATTCATTTATTGGTGGGCACTTGGGTTGCTTCTATCTCTTTGCTATTGTGAACAATGCAATGATAAACATAGATGTGCATATATCTGTTTGGGTGGCAGTTCTGGTTTCTTTAGGGTATATTCCAAGTAGTAGAACTGCTGGGTCAAATGGTATTTCTATTTCCAACTTTTTGAGAAAGTGCCTTAATACCTTACATTTTGATGGCACCATTTTACACTGCCAACAGTGAATACAGGTTCCAGTTTCTCCATGACCTTGCCAACATTTGTTGTTTGCTGCTCTGTTGAACTTTGCTATCATTACTGGAGTGAGATGATATCTCATAGTTGTTTCGAAATAATGGTTAAATTTTTGGTTCCTCAGTTTTCTCTTCTCCTCTCTTATTTTCTGCCTCCTCCAATTCTGTCTCCTCTGTCTCCTAAATAGTTCAAATAAAGGTACAGACATCAAGAGACCTCACCTCAGTATTTCAATGTCATCATTCTATTAAGAAAAAGAACACTTTTACATCAGTGGTTTGTTACTAGGGGCAGTTTTGTCTCCCAGTGGATAATTGGCGATGTCTGGGGACATTTTTAGTTGCCACACTTGAATAGGAGGCATAAAGGTGCTACTGGTTTCTAGTAAATAGAGTCTAGGGATATTTTTAAACATCCTGCAATGCACAGGACAGTCTCGCACAATAAGGAGTTGTCAGACCTCAAATATAAATGTAAACTGACTTCCATCAATTCGGTGCTGATGCAGAAAATCTCTGGTGAATTTTTAAGGTTATAAATCTTTGCGGAGGAAACATCTGGTGGATTTGAATGCCAGACTTTTGGTGAATGGCCTGATGAATTACACCCTATGTAATAGCACCCACATAATAGTAACAACAACAATAATAGTAATAGCATTACCATATTTAAATAAATTATCAGTAAATGTTATTCAGTTCATAATCCTATTTCTGCAACTATTTCAAAGTAATGCTTTTCAAATTTGGAATCAATTATGGTTTATGAATTACATTTTTGTTTTGTTATCTATCTATCTATTTTTCATTTCAATGAACATCTACAGAGATTTTGGAATTCCATTCATTCATTG